GGGGGGGATGAGGGCGAGGCCTCTGTGCTGAGAGAGCCGCGTTGTCGCAGGAGGCGGAAAGACCGCGAGTTACGCAGTGAGACTCCTACGCAGCGTCGGCTCTTGCGGCTTTTCGAGAAAACCGTTAGTGTAGGAATGATGGAATTCAAACATTTAACCACATTTGTAAGGAAATGACTTTGAACCAAATTCGAGAATAAATGCAATAATTCAAATCTTTAAATTGGTAAATAATTCAATGTTAAAATCAACTATGTAAATGTTTATTTTTTTATTTTTCCTAGAAGTTCTTTTGTTTTTGTATAATTTTTGTATTTGAGTTAAAATGTTTGTAATTTTTTTTTGAAAAATGTATGTGTTTTGAAATTTAAATGTTCAAATATTCTCGTATTTTTCGTGTTTTGTTTTGTCATATCGTGTTCATTGTAATTGCAAATTCCCCAGATGTGCTTTAGTGTGCAATTTCATTTCCTGCAGTGTGTTCCAAAAATAAATAAAACCAATTAATAAAAACAAAATAAGTTTTCGGATCTCCTTTTCAACGCATTACGTCGTTTACTTAACACAAAGCATGTATGCGGGTGTCGTAGACCTGTATGTTCAATCCAAGCATGTATCTTCGAGACATTAGAGAAGATTTTTCATAAAATTATTGTTCACGTCATTGTGTACATTTCTATTACCACTTTTATTCTACATATTTGGAATTCTTATACAACAATCTGCGTCTTTGTAAAATATAAAATATAATTTTCATAAATATAATATAATGATTTAAAATAAAAACCATATCACTAAACTTGATGGGTTACATTTCAGAGGGAAAAAAGAATAGAATATACAATATTTTAATAGTCTTGAGGACAATAGATGATCTAAGATAACAGTATTTTTTGTTAAATCTTACTTACGGGTATCTTTTATTAAGTGTTCAATGCTAATAGAAGTATATTTGAAATTTTTGACACCTAATAATAATATTAAATTCAATATGCTTTTTTTCTTGTAATGAAACATTGAGTAATTTTACCATTTGTCTAAAGCTTTTAGAGCCTTGTTTACACATCTATTACAAAGTTTCCGCAAAAATAAACCTCTTTCCACGTGTCTGCTTAGCTTCCGATTTCGGGGTGGAATAACAGCCGTCAGCTGGATCGTGTTCTGGCTTCGTGCCGAACAAAACTCCCGAGGTTGAACTGCAATGATTCCAGTCTGGATTTTGTATCTAATGAGCCTTCACACGAATCATATCGTGCAAATGAAAAGTCACGACGCAATCAATGTCCCATATAAAGATTTGGCCTACATGATTTCTTTTGTGTATCTGTTTCGTTAAATTATTTAACATTACACATCAATTGAAGTTGAACTATATTAAGTAAATTGGAATATTTTTCTTCCAGCTAGCGTGCTGAACTGACGAAATTATGGGCTTACCAAATAATGCAATATTGAGGCATTTTTGTAGTGATATTTTTGTAGTTTCAGTAGTATAATTTTATGTTTTATTTTCACTGTGTTATTTGATAACTGTTTTGTACTCTTTTGCTAGCGTCTAAAGCGTGTCTCAACAAATTAGTAAAAGATTGCAATATATAGATCTCTAACAAAAAGCTAACATAAAAACTAATTTACGACAAACAACGTAAACTGAATAGTTTTCACAGAATAAAAGCTGAGTGTTAACACTTCAAATCCTTTGTAGTTTGATAGTAAAAAGATATTAGTATTTAACTTTCACACAGTAGTAGTATATCCATTTCACATTAAACGTTGCAGTTTAGTTGAACTCAATAATTTGTAAATGTATTTTTAATACCAAAAAACCGAACGTAATGCAGTGCAATTTAATGTTTGATGCTAGTTTCAACATTCCTTTTTGTTGTCTAGTAACATTAACCAACCATCACACTACAAATTAAAAATGTAAGAATATTGTTTCGACATCTGAAAGTGAAATATTTTGTACTGAGGACATTTTAGTCTTCTCAAAAGCGACGCTTTTGAACATCGCGAAAATGGAGAGAAAAAGGGGGGTTACTTCTTTCCTGAGTGCAATGCTATTATAATGAATTCATTAAAATATTACTTTAATTTCAGTACTTGTTCGTATTTTGTTTGTTTAGAGTAGTAAATAGTTAATTAAATTAATTTATTTTAGTGTTAACGAAAAAAAAAAGTATTAAAATATTTGATTGTTTCTGGATTGACAGTGTTCCATTATGGTATTTAAAAAATACAAATGGAAAATTTTGTTAAACTAACGTATTTTGTTTTAATAAAGTTTCTTGAAACATTTTTATTACTTTTGCAATATCTGTAAAGTTTATATTCTGAAAATGACGTACTAGTAAATTAAAAGGCAATGTGAAAAAAATTACAACTCATTTTTTTCAACAAGGTTAATGTCACAACAGCTTAATGTCATAATTATACGAATTTGGAACTCTTTCTGACCTTACTCACTTCTCATCCAGTGAACAAGGTTTCATAGAAACCTAAGTTATGACTACCATAAATCGCAGTGTAGCGGAAAATATTTGTTTTACAGCTTCTTCTTTGTACAGTTATATGCCTCGTACAATCACCAAAGTCGTCATTAATAGGTACAATATTGCCAGAAATTCTTATTTCGTCATGAATTCTTAACGGAAATACAAAACTAGATGCAACACATGTGAAATGGCGCAAAGTAGATTCCCGACTCGCGACGAAAGCACTACAGTGACATTCATCGAAAATAAGCTCAAATCCACAATATCCATTTAGTGAAGCAGTGCGATATTGCTGTGACATATCCTCAACGCACTCCGCAAATAAAACGTGAGCAACACTTCGAACAAATAGATTTTTCCAAGGTTTCCCACTCGGATGAAAAGTGCTACGATAAGGTGAAAGAAACCGTAAATGAAGTTTAGTCCAGAACTATGTTTGAAACGTTTTGCGCAATTTTGAAGATGTGATTTCGTTGATACTTCGGGGAATTTCCTCACAATATCACTGATGTTTTTTGATTTTATTTAATGGATTCTTTTTTATACTCGTACGAGCTTTGACGAACGTTTAGGAACGCCATTAAAAATTATTTAACACATGTTTATACGTTGTAAATACTGAATCATATTATATATGTATATTTTATATATTTTTGTGAAGACTGTGTACCTTACCTGGACTGTCGAAGACGTATTCAAATAGAAAAGTCTGTAATATCCTGAGGAGTATTATTTGATAGAAAAAGAAATGAACCAGAGTTTTCTGAGTGATAACATGAGCTGGAAAATTATTTAAATTTAGTAATCATGACAATATTATTGACGTAATCAGCAAATATAGAAAGCATTCATCTGTCTCCAGTTAATGTGACATGTACTGAAAGCTATCTAATTAGCGTGTTTCATTATTTTTTCATTCTATTTGTTTAATATAATTAATTTTTGGTATTTTTAAATTGTCGTCTTAGAGTTTTTGCTGAGGGTTACTAATTGAAAACATATCAGTCAATTTATTGAATTGTTCCTTTAATTCATTAAAATATAGTGTTTCATTTCTGTTTATTTTCTTATTTCAACTAATTCAAAGGGATATTTTAGTAGATAACAGGAGAAAAAAATGTAAATGAAAGACATCAAATATAATTATAAATCGTCAGACGTTCTCTAAGACACCAAGAACTTTTGTTCAAATATTTCCAGTGTCACGATTAAAGTTCGTTCCGAATATACAGCTAAACTCGGCTCGGTTGTAGAGAGAGCTTTCCAAAATAAAATATAGACTCAACAATATTCGTTTATAACGCAAGCGATTCATGGCCCAGAAAGCAAGTAATCAACACTAGTGGCCTGTTCTACACGATCCCAACTGCCCGCCCAGCGCATAAAGCATATTGCAGGAGGCGTTGCAAAAACTCTCCCCCCCCCCGACACACAAGAGGGCTCCGAGCCAAAGGGCAAAGGACGAACTTTTAATCGCCTCGCCCTAGGTCAGCGCCTCGCGGCGGGGGGGGGGGGCGCAGGGCTGCAAAAGCCCTCTGCGCCAAGGGCACTCGACCTTGAGAGCGCCGGGCGCGACGTGGCGTAGGGCGTGGTGGGGAAACAAATTGTTATGAATTAAATATACGTCCTCTCCGACACTATTCGAATGCGCTTAAAGCCGAGAGGAATTGCGCCACATTTGTACAAAGAAGCCGGCGCCGCCCCGCCCTCTCCTCCTCAGGCGGTTAAAGGGAAAAGAATCGTTACGCAGGAAATGGCTCCTTAAAGTTGGCCCGGAGCAATTCAAAGTTGGCGTTGCCTGCCGTGAGGGACGGCTGCGCGCGCAAGCGACGGAAGGACCAAGTAGGGGAGTTGTGGGTGACGCCGAGCGAAGCGCCGACTTCGAAACAGATCTCCGAGCGGGGTCGCTGGGAGGAGGACTGCGGCTGGTGAGGATTGCTGCGTCCTCTGTGAACAATAACCGAAGTCTGGACATTCTCGAGGACGTTAAACGCCGAAGGTAATACGACTATTTATGGAAAAAAGTGTGAATGAATTAGTATTTTTAGTTGTCAAGGTAAAACATAACAGGTAATTGTTTTAAAAGTCTTTCTTTATATTTACATAAATATTATTGTCACGTTTTTATAACTACGTGCTTATTCATGAAGAAAGATCCAATAATCAGTAAATTTACCTAAGACACTAAGGAGCAAGTCATTGAAATTACAACATATACACCTACAAGTTATATAACATAATTAACAAGTTGCATAAAAAAAGTAACATAATAGTCGTACAAGTTAGGAAATTAATTTACGGTATTACTAAATAAATGAGGGAATTAGGTGACAATAGTAGGTTATGAAGCGATGCGTTAGTAATATATTGTGAAGTGAGGTGTCGTGTAGTGTAGAACAAAGAAATAATGTAGGAAGTGATTAATAGTGAAGTGTAGTGAAGTGAAATAAAATGTAGTGAAGTGCAGTTAACCAAAAATTTACTTCGGAGTTTGATTATGATGTTTCTTTTTAAGATAATTTTAAATGTTTTATGAATTAGTTTTATATCATTACTATTTTTATTAATAATGTTATTTTATTGGTATTATTAATATTATTATTATTATTATATAATTTGTATGTTAGCTGTATTATCTTATTTATGTAATTATCTGCCACCGGGTTATGCTCATTTGCAGTTCAAATATATTTTTCTTTATATTTATAAACTATGGAACATATCAGTTACTTTAGCATAACATAATTTATTATATGATGTATACATTTTATTATATGACGATAACAATTACTCATTACTGTAATCTCTTTTAATTATAATTGGCAAGTTTACTGATTATTTAAAACTTTTAAAACGAACATGTAATTGTAAAAACTATATGACATCAATATATATTAAATATAAAAATATAATATATAAAATGAAAAGTTTAAAACATGTATGTTATGTTTGGCGTTTACAACTAAAAATATTTATAATAATTGCACCCATTACCTCGTTCATTTGTTAATAATAATTGAATTAGAAAATTGTATGAATTCCTTATGAGCAAAAATGTCTCTAAAGTTACCTAATAACATACTACTATGCACCATTTCAACTTGAACACGAATGTCATTCGTAGCAAGTAAAAGTTTTGTCATAAAATGAGTTTGTGGCGTCTGCTGGAATTGATTATTCGTAGACGCAGAGCTCCGACCGTATTTTTTGATGTTTCCTTAATTAACAAATTGTTCCACAGCTTAGAAAGAATTTATACCCTTCATATTTTGAGGAAGAAAATTGAAGTAGTATTAACAAAATTCCAGTTTTTTCCATGTGTTCTCTCAAACAAAAGAACTGTTTCAAATGTTTTCTCGAGATAAATTACAAGAATACGTACTCTTTGAAACATTAACAATTAATTTATCACTTTTTTATAAAACTCTAACTACTATTGCGATTGGTGAATGTTCATTATTTTACCAGCTGAAAAATCCTCTATTCATTTACAAAACGTAGAGAAAAATATTACTTTTATTGTTCATTTTCAAATAACATTTGCTGGGGTACGGAGTAACCCATGTGGACTCTTCCCAGTCAGTTCACCACAAAATACAAAGCTCAATTCTGTGCCTTTTCAAGTTATTGCCTTTTTTAAAACAAACATTTATTTGCAGTTATCTCTCGTAATTGCTTTTTTTGTTTATTTTGTATTTGCTGTATGCTGACCATTTTACCAAAATCACAGCGGAGAGAGGCACCTACTACGTGTAAAACAATTCCTAAATTCACAGTTGCTCTAAAGTTCACGGGTGTATATTTCTTAGAAGGGGAGTGTGAATTTCGTATTCAGATGAAAAATCAATTCTCATTCATCGTTCTGACCATTATGTTCCTCATGTTTATGAGTTTTACCGTCATAGGCTTTGTCTTAAATCTTTATCTTTGTATTGTGATTCGTCTCGCTGATGTTTTAATTTGATTCCAACTGATATTCTGATATGGTTAAAAATTTGAATCAAACGATTTAAATCAATAATTTAAAAAAGAAAATACTATATCTTTATTGTAATTCTTTAGTGAATGTTGATATTGTATATACTATCAAGTATACATCAATCTGTTAGTGTGGTTAATCCGAAATTAAGTAATTGTTTTTTCTGATTAGTTGAGGGATTTAGTTATCCCCTTAAGTGTTACATGTACGTTGATGTCTAATTACTAACGTTGTACTTCAATTTTATACTTTGAAAACTGGCATTGAATGTTAGAAAATCGTGATTTGTTTGCGTGAAAAGCGTATGAAAATCACAATTAACTTCTTAATATAATTAAATGCATTAAAACCATTGCTAGCCATACATAGCCCTATAATGTTATTTACTTAATATCTTAATAATATAATGTCAATTTCAACGCAATGTACTTAATTACAAGTAACACTACTACTAGATATCTCTCAGAATAAACCGTTCTGATGATTTGGAATGATTCTTTGCTGTGTTGTTTTCTCTAGTATCATTCGTCTCAAGAGGGAAGAAAGCTGAAGAACTTTGTGGGGTTAGCTTGCGTTATAGATAATGAATGGAAGATTTAGTGATTGACGTTTTTCCGAACTTTATACATGTTTAATGATTTAATTACACAAAATTATCGATTTAATGTGTACTCTTCTATTTCATCATAATTACTTATATTATTTTGGATTCTGTCTTGTGTCTACATAATTATGTTTAAAGACATCCCGCCCAAGTCCGTGGAACGAATTGCGGCGAAAGCATATTACAGCAATTTATAATTAGAGACACGCCTCCCATTCCTTTCTTTTCTCTCCTGTCTCGTGGACACTACCTAAACAAGCTACCATTATCACTGTTTTTCATGAACTCACAAATGAATAATAAATTACATCGAGGTTGTAAATTACGTAAATTAAGTTCATGAATTAAAATAAAATACAGGTCAGAAGGACGCCTGAATATTTTTTTCACACAAGGTTAATACGGTTTTGTTTTTATACGAATAATTGCGTCACTCGTTCTGTCACTCCTTTTGCTAACCTTCCAGAACTCAAAATAAAAACGTCTAGTATAATGAATACCTAGACAATTTATTTTGTTGAATTTGTAAAAATTAGATTCGTTATAATGATTAACGTTTAACTATATAAAGTACTTCTAAAGTATAATTTTCGAATAACAGGTCATTCTGGATAATTATCAGAGTGATTGGCCAATGCAATAGTTTCAAGATATTTCGTGTCCTGTCAAACAATAAATTCTATGGATATTCTCATTTACTTCGTGTACATACTAGGGAAAACCCGTGAAAAATTACAGGATGCAAAGATACTCCCGTATTAATAATTCATTATAATGAATAGAAGAATACAATTCAATTTCTTTAATACTAGATGTGTGTTTGTTTTTTAATTAAAACTTTCTTGTATCAGTAAAGGTTCTAACTGCATTTTTCAAGGGGACCGCAAAGCTGTTTTAAGGAGACCCAAAAGAGCCACCAGATAAAATGATGTGCTTTTTTTCAACTGTTGCCGCTAGTTACCACGTCCCATGAAGAATTCGAATTTAGTTTCTCTGGTATTTGGTGTAGTGGTTTAGACCAACTGCGTTCTCGGGAATCGGAGCGTGTGTATTGGAGATTGCACTTATGTTCGCGCAATCCGCCCGTTATGGCATCTATAAATGCTATTTCCCGAGCAAAGGGATTTTTATCTTCTCTCTCCAGAGTTGCTCTCTTCTTTCGGTCTTACTTTTGTAGTATTTTATATTATTTTCCATTTATTTGTTTCTACAAAATAATTTGTACTACCACATACCTCTTTCGTAATAAATCAGCATTTTTTGTTATTTTTAACTAAGTGATAGTGAACGTAAAGTTCAATTTGGGAGTTTGAACATCAGAGCAGTGATGTCACTGTAGTGACTTTCAAGCTCCCGATTGAATTTCATTGTATCAGCTGATGAAACGTCAAGAGCCATTATAAATAAATCGAAATAAGTTGGTTCTGACGGTGACAATTGAGTTTCCATAATCACCAACGTTGTATACAACATTGTTGATTAGAGCCGTGTGATTAGCATGTATTGCTAGCGCGCGTCGCGGTCAGGGATATTATATTAATCTTTCTGCTTCCGCAGATTTCGAGTTCCGAAGATGTTGATTGACTCGCGCTGCGCTCACTTTATGCACAAAACGTCCGAGAGTGCTCGGCACGTCTTCATTCACTCAAACTTCAAAAGCAAATTTTTCCAAGCGAAAACTATCGAATTATACCGCCAGGTGTTGTTACAATACCACAGCATTTTATACCGCTTCAAATGTACAGAAAGCGAAAGCGTATGTGCTTATTAAGAGTGTGAGAGCTGACGCGAAATGTGTGCTTTGTTGCAGCACCACAACTCGAACGACCAGCACGTGTTGCTGCGGAACGTGAACCTCAAGTCGACGGGAGTGTACCGCTGCGAGGTGTCCGCCGAGGCGCCTTCCTTTGCCTCCGCACAGCGCGAGGGCCGCATGGAGGTCGTCTGTGAGTACCTCTCCCTCTCGCATGAGGAATCGTCTGATTGTATATTACTCGCGCAAACTTTTCTTGAACGATGGATTGCAGAAATGTGGGTAGAGTGGTTAGTTACGAAATCGGACACTAGAGTTTATGAAGAAATGCCAATCTCTGAAAAATCAGCCATGCCTTCTCAACTTTATAAATAATTTGCGTTTTAACATTCTCAAGAGTTCGAGGTAAATCCTGTGGTGGATCTTCGCCTGCTTCGGTCATTTCTTTAGTTTTTTTGGAGAAAATCACGGACAGAAGTTCTCGTCTTCAACAGAAAATAGTTTGTGCTTCGCGTCAGTGAAAATGTGTTTGGAATGATGTCTTCAGTGTTCGCTGCGAGCTTTTGCCTTCAACTGTTTATTGTGCAAGAGAGGGGGAAGAAAGGTAATTGTTCAAGAAAAGTTGCGCGATTAATAGCAGGTCAGATTATCCTCACAGCCCGCTGTTTTCCTTTTGACGTTTTTAGTAAGCATAGCTCGATTGTACCCCATTCTAAGGTTTCCCTCACATCCTCTTCTCAAATAACCTCCTTTCACTTTTGACGTCCTCAGAAGTCATAGCTGGATTGCATCCCGGGTTCAGGTTTCTTTCTCACCCGCTTCCCATTTAATCACCGTTCACTCTTGGCTACTTACAAAGACATGTCCTAATTGCATTCTGGTTGATGTTTTATGAGAAGGAAGGGGGGAAATTAACTAAGAGCCCCTCATACCGCGCCACTCAGCAGCACTTACGAGTGGCACGTCTGCTGGAAAAGCATTGGTTTAAATGGACATGTTCACACGAGCAGCGTACATTCGCTAATGTTTCGCTTAGTGGCCAATTCTAGCAGCGCAAATGTGCTTCCATGCTACCGCCAGCAGGTCACAGTTTTAAATGGCAACCTACACTCAAGACCACTCGGACGTTCCATCGAGCCTATTTTTATTAGTTGACTTCCTTATAGAAGCTGGAGCCCACAGCGGTGTGACTCACGAATCCTTCCTTTCCCACGCTCAGTGGCACTGCCAAGGGCTCAACACTTCTCGGTGAGACCACAGAGTAGCCCCGTGTGAGGCAGCGTAAGTTCCATTCAAGTGTAACCCAAATATATGCTTTCGAACACAGATGACAGAATATTCAGATACGTGTATTTGTCTAATTAAAATACAATTATTATAATTCTTCGTTTTATTAGGTAAGACCATGGCGCTTTTGTCCATCTTTAGAGTACGTTACGGTGTTCGAGAAACTCAGTTTCAATAAATTAAGAATATCCTACACTGTTTAATTTCAAAATAGTAAGCTTTGAAGCAATGTTCACCGTCAATAGGATCATGATTTATTATTTTCCTCTTTCACGTTCTTTAAGTACGAAAGTGAGTAGAACGTCTTCAATCCTCTAATACATGCACGTGCTCTTTCTAGTACCAACGAGGAAAACGGATCAGTTTGCATTCGGACAGTCCTTTTTGGGGGGGAGGGAGGTAAATATCTTAGGAAACGTTGACTGCCGTATGCAATCGGTTTTTCCCTACACACGCCCTTAGGTTTTAAGAATTCAGGATTGAGAGCCACTAGGCCTTGCCCCCATGTCCTTGAAGGGGACTTGAAGGGGACCTGAGGCAGTCGATTGTGCGCTGAGAAATGGGAACGGCATGACACAAATATATTTGTCGTCCGATCACTTGATGTGCTATTTAATTACGAATTCGCATTAGATAAAATGGCACATTATAATATTCCATGTAATAAAGGGTATTGCTGAAGTAAATATAGCGTAATAACCATATAGATATTGAGTTAGAAAATATGCCCAAACGTCAAAAAGGCGATCGAATAAGACAAAACATTATATGTTATGTGTGGCCAAAAGAACATTCTGTGTTCATTAGCAATTATACACTTGGGCTGGCATGCTTATAAATAATCAACTAACATACACGTAATGGACTCTTTTAGACATTTCAAAGATAAATTACTCTTGTTTTATTCAGAAGATTAAAGAGGCTTCTTAATGGTTAATAGTGTGTTTCTAAAGTACCTCTTTATCACCTGGGGGTCATTTATATTTTCAACTTTTGTCGTTGGCGCTCCGGGCGGAGAATTACTCCTGTGAGTTCTCCTTGCGGTGAAGGTGAAAACTATTTAACTTCATGTAACGAGACAATTGTACGCCACATTTGTACTGTGTACTATCTAACAATAACAAATAGGATACAATCAAATCATGTTACAGAATACAATACATACACATAATAGTCTCGAGAAAGATACTGTACGAGTGACAAAAGAGCTCGTGAGCTGATGCCTTTCTCTGGTAGAAAATGTGTTCTTTTCGTTTTGAATAATACAATTCTAATTTCATGTTAGAAAGAAAGTAAAATATATGATGTTAGGGAGAGAGCTACATTTAGTGTTCAGAAGGCAAGAAATGTGAATTGATCATGTGAATCAATTATAATATCAATGAAAGAAAAATCTGATCGAAGAAGGCGTCGTTGAACCAGATGCTACTTATACTAGTATTACAATCATTTTCAATCTTTTAAAACTATACAATACGAAAAGTAACAAACATGTTAGTAACATCATTTTTTTTAATATTCACCTTAATAATTGTATATAAAGAGATGCATAAAATTGTTTTAGTTGCAATTTAAACTTGTGTAACTATTTTATTTGTTTGAAGACATCTGAGATTTGTTGTAATATGATTTTCTATAATTTTGATTGGATGTTTTGCAAGACACGCAAATAGCGTCTGATAATTAGGATTCATCCCCCATTTTGTTTTATTCTGCTTCTCTCTTGCATATAAAATGGGTGGCTATCCTTGAGTAACTCAGTTATGACAAAAAACATTATTAGGGAATGAATGTTACATGATTATTCTAATTTATTGGTCGAAATGTTTCCCTGATGAATCAGTTCACCATTTCCAAATATTTCAGTGCATGCATGAATAAATTGAAGAATCAGATAATGTGTTAATTAGTGCAGTAATATAATGGTGAAGTATTACGAATAACCTGAAGAGCGTCAGAATGAGACCTATGAGTCCGGCCGTACATCTCTTTTCCTCTCCACCAGCAATTTGCTCTTAATTCCAGATCTCTCTCGGTAATTCGATGGGAAAACCATGATACAATTTATTCGCGAATATTCTTAAACGGTGTTCGACGCCCATCCCACATCAAATGCATCATTCACGTAACATCAAAAAGTGTCGATTGCGATAAACTCAATTTTTTTAGTTATGTGATGGGTCCATGAAAAAAACAGTATAATGTCAAAAATTGTTTCAAATAAGAAACGACTAACAAAGAAGAAAAATACAGAAAACCCAGACTTAAAATCATCTCTGTTGACTGTAAGCTTTTATGTTAGAATGAGGGAATCATCAAACGTGCTGTGTGGCCACTTTTAAAATTTTGTCTCTCGCAGTCTATACGAAGTGTCATACAGTTCCCGAGTGCTCATTGACATCTCTGCTATGTTTTACTTTACGTGAAATGCTTTTGGTGCAATGTTTTACCTCCCTATTTGCGACACGAATAAGAAGACTTGACTCGAGGCTGCTTTCGTTGTTATAACATAAACCTTTCATTGTCGTTGAGTACAAGGGAAAGTTTTACTTGTCGACGTAAATGTCTTGTAAAGAAAACATGTAAGCTTTTCATGTGAAAGTACGTCTCCTTCGGGCAGAGTTGCGGAGAGACGAACAGTTAGGATGCACTTCGCGAGTTGACTTGCGTCATCGCCTCGGCAATATGTTCGTGAAGAGTAGAGAGATTTTCACTTCTCAATTGCATTAGTAGGGGGAATGGAACGGAAAAAATAGCCTTATCATCAGTGAAAGAAGAAGAGGATCACACGTCAAATAAGAGAATGAAGGTATAAAGAGGAGATGTGGATGAAAGAAAGTGCGTAAAGGAGGGGCAAAGAAATGACCTTATTTATTTTGGGGTTGCTTCCTCGCCAGGACAGCCAAATTTGGAGAAGTTTAAATGTTCTGATAGTGATTCCGGTGTTGGTGGTATCGACAATACCGTTTCATAGTTGATACAGATTACTATCAGAAGTATCGGTATGAATTATCGGTAACATATGTTTTAAAAAATGTTCTTTTGTTTAAGAAAATATAGACAATTAAGCGCGCACTATTCCCTTTCCAGCCATTGCCTTTGGTTTTTTCAGATGTCACTTGAACATAATTTTGTATTTATGTAAATAAAAGGCGATATTTACCTTAAAGCGATGGCTGATATTGGCCCTTGTACTTAATGTCCTGGAATTATTTAATTAATACATTTGTTTCATTACATAAACGCATTTTGGGTTTCGTTCTTTTGTGTATTAATGTCTTCATATCTATTAAATAATCTGACCTAATCGGACCTAAACTCTAGCCTACTCGAGTTTGTGTAGTCTTGATGCCTTGTTCAAAGAAGCCTTTGAATCGTTTCTAGGCATGGATTTTCGTCCATTGTCGGTGAGTTTGTGTGTGTGTGTCAGAGAGAGAGAGAGAGAGAGCACTGTCTTGCAAAGGGGATGTCTTTGAGCTGATCCCAGTTCCTTTTTCCATCTACAAGGAGCCTAGAAGTGCATTAATGCGTATAGTATTACCTCCTTAGAGCTAATATCGCAAGTAAAATCGCAAGCCTACTTAACCAATCATTTTGACCTGAATTGCAAAAAGGTTTTGCAACTGCCGTTTGCGTATTTGCTCGCTCCATCGCAACCCCTTGTGTTGAAAAAATTGTGAATTACATCGAAGTGATGTTGCAAGCGATGGAAGAAAGCATCGAATGAAAATTGCGAACTACTGTATGGTTTTTTAGTCACTTGAATTCAATTTTTATAATCACGGTTATATTAACGGCATTGTTGGTTTGACAAAGACTGATGAATAAATAATTGGGAACGCGGAATATATAATTATGAACAATTCATCGTCAATTTCTAATGAATTAGTACTTCTTTATAATTAGAATATTGAACATCGGAGAGTGCTCAATAGCGCCAATTTCAGACGATGAATTACAGTTACTCTTGGGAATTTTAGAGCCATCTCCAAAATAGAAACTACAAAATATTAATCATTAAAATAAATTAACAATTTACTCACTATAATTTCAAATATTGAGATAAGTAGGTTTTTATTAAAAATTGCAACACTTTGGATAGTTAGTTTGACCTGTGTGCTTTTCCTCTGCACCTTTTCGCAAATGCCAGAACAAACATTTTTACAAAAATTACACATGTGAGATGTTCCGAGATGAAAGCCAAAGCGAACTTGCGAGTAACTTTTTCTTTTTGGAGTTAACAGGTCGTACCTACTTCTGTGCGCCTTCTTGGGAGACGGCTACTCACTAAGCGTCTCGCGTTCAGGGCGGAGACATCTTAACGAGCTCGTGCACCCTACCGCCCGCCATATTAGAACAGGTCGTAAAACCTCTTCAACGCAAATCTTTGGAATTCCAAGAAACGAGCCAGCCTCAGGCGCCGAAGCCTTCCCAGCCCCCGCCCCGCCGCTCCAACAGCCTCCCCCTCCACCACCCGTCGCCCGTCGCCATCCCCACCGCCGCCTCCGCCACGCCGTCACCTAAAAGCTACCATCACACCATGGTGCCCATCATCGCTGCCACCACCGCCCGCCACCCTCGCCATCACCGCCACCGCACCCACGCCGGTTCTTCTTCCCTTACCGCCTCTCCGCAGCCAACCGACACCCCACAACCTCCTTCCGCCGTCGGCCACACCGCCTACCACCGCTACCACCG